TCATTTCTTTAATGATCCATTCTAGAATTTTTACAGTAATTGAAGTCAAGCTCACCAGTCTATAGTTTTTATTATTTTCATTTATTTATTTAGGCAATTGGGGTTAAGTGACTTGCCCAGGGTCACACAGCTAGTAAGTGTCAGGTGTTTGGTCTGAGGCTGGATTTGAACTCTGGTCCTCCTGACTTCAGGGCCAGTGCTTTATCCACCTTGCTGCCCCTTTTGTGGGACAGGCAACCAGACAGATCTTTCACATTCTGCGCTGGGTTTTTTTTGTTTGTTTTTTTGAGGCAGTGAGAGTTAAGTGACTTGCCCAGGGTCACACAGCTAGTAAGTGTCAAGTGTCTGAGGTCAGATTTGAACTCCCATCCTCCTGACTCCAAGGCTGGAGCTCTAACCACTGCGCCACCTAGCTGCCCCATAGTCTGTAGTTTTTAAACAAAGCCCACAAAGGTTAAGTGATTTCCCAAGGTCTCATGGCTAATTAGTATTTGAGATTTGAACTGGAATCTTCTAATTTCTAGCAACATGTGTAGAATGCTTATTCACAGAATGGCTTATCTACTTATTACTTCCCTCATACAAAGGAAAATTGTATGAAAAAACAATAAAAACAATATGTTATCTCTAAATTTCGTTTTCATAATTTACTGTTTGGGTAACCAGACAGTATGAAGTTCTTCACTTCACAGAATTAAGTTTATAAATTTAGTATTCAAGATGTCTGTTTCTCTTATTATGTTCCCCTGTTTGTAATTAAGATATATTTCCAGTAGATAAACCTTAGTTTTTTTCTCTTATGATCTGAAGAGCAAGAGTATTTTATTCTGAGTAATTGACTTATTTCAATTATCTAGCTATTATTATCAACAAAGTTATCAAATACTATTATTAATTATCAACAAAAATAACCCACCCTTTACCAAACCAGTTAAGCAAAAACATTTGAATGAAATAATTAGTCTTAACAGATTTTTAAAAGGATACCTAAATATAATTAAGTATGTTGCTCACTAATCCTTATCTGCTAGGTTTCCTATTCTAACTTTTCTCATAGGTACTTTTCGTTAGAAGAGTTTTTTGAAAAATTAATTTATTATCAAGGGGCAGCTAGATGGTGCAGTGGACAGAGCACTGACCCTGGAGTCAGGAGGACCTGAGTTCAAATCTGGCCTCAGACCAAACACCTGACACTTACTAGCTGTGTGACCCTGGGCAAGTCATTTAACCCCAATTGCCTTAAAAATAATTAATTTAGCAATTTTTCTTAAATTTGAGCAAAACCTTTCCTGGGATATGTTTGTAGCCATATGGATTCAAATCTTTTTCCCTTAACTGCTAGAATCTCTGCTATCTCTTCAAAGTTGGAGTTTGTAAGTGTCATTGATTATAGTGAAAAGAATGCTGAATTTTGAGTTAGAGGAACTGGATTCAAATACTGGCTCTGCTACTTGCTACATGTGTCACTTTGAGCAAGTTATTTAATGTCTCTAGGTCTTAGCTTCTTTACCTGTAAATGGAGGGGGTTAAACTCTTTAGATAAGATATCGTTAGGTCCTTTCTATACATTAGAACTTGCTTTTTCTAACATTCCTAATCAGCTCTCTGGGGTTAAGTACTCACTTCATTACTTTTTTTTTCTATGCACCTGAAACAGAGTATAATAATGAGGTAGATCATTTTTGTATTAGGAGTGTGAACCTTTTGACACCCTTTTCTATTTGAAGGTAGTAATTTTCCAATCTTCTCATAAAAAGACAGAGTGAACCTTCCTTTTCTAAAAAGGATTACCTATTGCTTTGTTGTGCTTACAATTTACATACAGTGACCACCTTGATGTTAACCATAAAAATGAGCAGATAATATTTTTTAAAAGGATTAAAAGCAAAAGTGGTTTCACCTTCTTTAACCTCACATCTTCCTAACCTTCCATTCATAACTAGAGGTGTTGTGTCTTGGAATAACTCAATACAATTTCTGTATACCTGCAGGAAAGACTATAAAAGACATTCAAGAACTGGTATGTTGAGCTTTAGGGGACTTTTTGTTCCTGTAGTTTACAGAGTGATTCTGTATTCTGCATTTTTGCTTCTTTGTGGTTGGTTCTGCTGTAAGAGTATCTGATGCTTAGTATTGCTATTTCTCCCTCATCTTGCTTTCTACAACTAATGCTGTAGCTACTGCTTCCTAAATAGTACCTTTCAATATTACCTTGAATGTAGTGGGTGTTGAATAAATATTTGGTGAATTGAATGATTCTTTTATTGGATATCCTGCTTTTTTACTCTTTTTGCCTTGGTTTTTTTCCCTCCATTTTTCTTTCTTATTCTGTTGCTTCTTCCATGTCTTGGCTTTTGCATGAAAAAAATGTTCTTTTTCACACAGCCAGCCAACTTACCATAACATTTTTTTACCTTTTGATTGCAGCACCAGCAGATTATGGTGTATTGTGTGTGATCTGCAGACCTCCATTTTATTTTGTTTATTATAGTCGTTGCTGAATGTTCAGAGTCTGTTGTTTCATTGTTGAAGATTTTTTCACCTGAATTTAGACCCGTTCCAAATGTGTGAGGGAGCTAGAAAATTTGTTCTCCATAAATATGAGGCTATTTATGCTCTAGCTGATTGTTAAGCAGTACTGAAAGAGCAGAATGGTAAAGTGTAAAGTGGTGAAAAACAAGGACTGTCTGGTGGAAAAGCACTGACTAGATCAAGAATCAGTTATACGTGGGTCCTTACTCTTCCTCTAACTAGTTGGGTGACTTTGAGCCTTAGGCCTCAGTGTCTTCTTCTATAATTTGAAGATAAGAATAGCTGACATTTATATGGTGCTTTTCATTTACAGAGTAGTTTACCTGTATTACCTCACTTAAGTTTCACAGCAATCCTGGGGGACTGTTACCACAGGGACTATTATTCTCATTGTACATAAGAAGAGAAAACCACAATGAGGCTAAGGGATCTGCCCAAGGTCACAGAGCTAGCTTATAGGTTACAGAATCAGGATTCAAACTGCTGTTTTCTGACTCTAAATCCTGACTCTAAATTTCTACTTCTGCACAAATGTGTTTTCTAGGCCAATAACTGCTGTCATGAGGAAAAAGAGATAATAGATATAAAAAAGCCTCCATAAAAATTCAAAGTGGCATTATTGTGGATTCTTGCAGAATATTTTAAATTTTATTGTAGCTTTAATCTTAGGCTGGTTATGAGACACCTTTCATATTCATAGATTCATAGGATCATAGATTCAGAATTAGAAGAGATCTTCAGGTTTATTTGACTAAATAACACCTTTATTTTACAGCTGATGAAACTGAGGCTCAGAGCAGCTAAGAGATTTGGCCAGTTATATAAATAGTAACTAGTAGCGCCATTACTCGAAACTAGGTCTTCTGACATCAAGTCCATTGACAACTCTTATAGAGAACGGACAATTTTGAGTGAGGGGATAGGTTGGAAAACCTGGGTAATTTTAAAAAATTCTTCTTGAATTAGTCCTTGACTATGTAACATTATTGAGTTTAGACCCTATAAGCCTTACAGACCTAAGGCAGGCTAAGGACTTCCCATAGCAGTCAAGTTTATTAGACTTGCAATGTTCTGTATAAAACATAGTTTTAAAATACAGCACCTACATTGCTAATAACTTTTAATTCATAGGAATTATCCATTTGTTGAAGATCAGCTTATTGAGGTCCTCTAATATGTTATAAAGTAGAAAAGATAATCAGGCCATTAAAAATATTCAATGTATGCCTGCTATATGTAAAAAAAAAAAAATCAGGGTAAGCAATCTACAATCAGGTCAAAGGAAGATGCTTCTGCTAACCATGTCTTTTTTCTTTGTTCATGGACATAAGTCAAGAATCACAGTTAAGAGAGTCTAGTTAAATGAATTCTTCAATTTTTTAAAAGTTGACAAAGGTTTATCAAATTCAAGTTAGTGTTCTTCATCTCTAATATAATTCTGTGTTTCCTAAGTATCCAATAACTGCAATGATACCGTCTTGCCCAAGTAGTCTTTATTACAGGAGCCTGGGTTTTTTGGGGGTGGCGGTGGTAATTAACAGAAATGTAAATTCCTAGAATATTAGGTATACTTGTGTTTATGTTGAAGTACAGAAACATAGAATCCTAAATTTAGAGCTAGAAGGGATATTGAGTCTAAACTATTAGTCTAAACTCTCTATTTATAGATAAGGGAACTAAAACTCGGAGTAGTAACTTTAACTTAGTCAAGGGAGTAGCCAGAATGTGACTTGAAATCTATTGCATGGCTGTTAAATGTATTTTCATACCATAGATAAGTGACTTTGCAGTTACCTATAACTATGGCTTAGTAGTTAGAGATGAAGCCTTAGTGAGACATTGGACAAATCGCTTAACCTCTTAGTACCCATGAAACTCTGTAAGACTGTGAATTACTGAGTGGGTGTGAACTTGCTTTGGTAGAGGAAGTTTCTGCAGTGGGAGTTGCTCATAACAATGAAATCACAAGTGAGGTTGTAAAAATTTGTTTATGTGCATATACACACACACACACAGTGATTGGATCACAATTTTTCTTTATTTGTGTGGATAATCAGCAATTGACTTTTAATATATTTTAATAGTATGCTATCTGGAAAAGATATATTTGCTCATGTATTGGAAATTTAAATAGCAACATCTGTCTTTGCAATACTGTTGCAAAATGGATTTGAACAATTTAAAAGGATTAGACGTGCTGTCTAGCTGTTCGGTTGTTTTCTGTTTGCATTCCTTTTCTTTTATAAAAGACACTAGTGGCAATGTACTTAAGGTCTAATCAAGTAGTAGAAAAATAGGCATGGTGAAGAAATTAACATTAATTGCTGTGGTTATAAAGTTTAATTGTCAATTTCAGGAAAGCTTTGTCTTCCAAGGAGAAAATTTTATCTTGTAGATTTCATGCTTTATAAATCAGACGCTATTATTATTAAGTTGTATTGAAAATAAGCTCTTTTCTTGTTTTCTAGGGTATATTTCAGAAATCGCTGGGTAAAGACTGTCCACCCAGTTGTACATCAGTACTGTTTGATTTCAAGCACACATTCCACCTTTCAGATGCCACAGAAAGAAGACATTCTTAAACAACGAGTAGTAGTTGTTACATTGAATACTTCACAGTACCTTTGTCAACTGGATCTGGAACCTGGTAAGCTGCCAAGAAATTTAAAAGTTTCAAAATTGTTGGTGGCTGGTGAAGAAAGGGGGTGGTACCTGGAGACTTAACGGTGGATTATAGAAAATAATAAGAAAAAAAGGAATAGCTTTGGTATTGTTGCCTGTGTCAATATGGTGGACCAAGTAGTCCAAGCCCTGAAGGAATGGTATGAGGTTATTGATATTGCCAATTGCTTTTTCAATATTCCTGTGCCTGAGATGTCATAAGAAGTTTTTCCTTTACCTGGGAAGGAGTTCAGTATACCTTTACTATACTTTCTCAGAGTTATTAAAATTCTCAATAATGCTATAGTTTGGTGGGCAGACTCCCTGAGTCCACAATTATATTGACTAGGTGGGATGAGACCATGACAGCAGAGTCTTTAGATCATTTGATGGCTCAGATGACATGGAGTAGGAAATTTACCCCAAGAAAATTTGTGGTTTGACCTGTTTAGTCAAGATTTGGGGAATACATTGTAGATGGGAAAAACTCAGGTGATTCTGGATATAATTGATATTAAGCTACTGACAATTGATCCCTTGTAAGCTAAAGCTCAGAGACTTATGAGACTCTTAGGGTTCTGGAGAATTCATGTTCCCCATGTTGACATTTTGATGAGCCTCCTTTACCTTTATGTCTGCCTCTTTCAAATGGATCCCAGGTTAGGCTGTATCTCTGGGAGACCCAAAGTGAGCTGTCTGTCCAGCAGTCTCTTCCAGGGGGTACTTATGATCCCACAGTGCCTATGATGAACCAGGCTGAATGGAGTCTTTGGCAGGAACTAAAGCAGTAGTCAGATTAAACAACTCTTAGGCTTCTTGATCTGTAAACTCCTTGAATCTACCACTCATTATATTGCTTTTGAAAAACAGTTGTTGGCCTGTTATTAGTCATTAGTTGCTCCTGAACAGATGACACAGGGTCTTACCTTTCTTCTAGAATTGCTCGTTATGAGTTGGGTGATGCAAAATGGTTCCTCTGATAAGATGGGTAGGGGACATGAGGCTTCTATAAATAGAAATGGTATATATATTCAGGATTGTGCTTACCTGGGGGCCTCAAGTCTTAGTATATTTCATGAACAGATTGTGATTTTACTGGAAGTTGAGACCTTAAGTCTCAGTGACCCTGATCCTTTGCATCTTTTACTAGGCCATTGATCCCATATACCTGGACTTGGCTCTTGAGAAATGTTATTTTACTTGGTTTATTGATAGCTTTGCACACTATGAGAGAGTTACATGCAACTAGACCTTGGTAACTTTTAATCTAGCAATAGGGTAGCTCTGAAGATTAGTGATACTCCACTAGGTCAAGCTGTAATCTTCATGGCTAGCATTTGAAAGAACTTTCAGGGGTCAGTCAGATAAATCTTCATCTATACTGATTGCTTATTGGTGACCTGGGGTCTGATTGAATGTTCTGGCGTCTAGAAAAAACTGGACTGGATGATCAATATCTCTCTCCTTTGAGGTCAAGAATGATGGGAAATTTTTGCTGGTGTCTCACACAGCATGCAGCTCTTTGTAGGGTGTGTTAGTGCCAATCAGAACCATCATACACCTTCTACTGAGCTGAATAATCAAGTTGATGCCCTTATGAGAATAGAAGAAATGGGTTACATGATCATGTGGGTGTTGTGATGCTAACCTCCTGTGGGTGTGTGATCATTTGATCCCCTTATGGGAATAATAAATACTAGATAAGGTTAGCTGCACCTCAGTGATACTCTTCTAGCCAATGAAAGTATCTACATTTGAAAGATCAGTATGGCATGATCCTGTATAATTATTTATTTATTTATTTTTTTTGGGTGAGGAAGTCGGGGTTAAGTGACTTGCCCGGGGTCACACAGCTGGTAAGTGTCAAGTATCTGAGGAGGAATTTGAACTCAGGTCCTCCTGACTCCAAAGAGCTCTATCCACTGCGCCACCTAACTGCCCCATCCTGTGTGATTCTTAATCTGTCTTTGTCAGGACAGTTGATTTATTTAACCTTTTTCTTCATCTCATCATGTCCCTTATCATTAAGGTTATTTGTCCCACTTTCCAGTAGCTATATCTGTAGTAAATTGGTGTTACCCTAGGAAGGAGATGAGATCTCCACTCTTGTCAGTTTCATGGATCCAGTCTCCAGGAAGATTTACCAAAAAAAGGTGGAGTACTTTTAGATATAGTCCTAATTGACTCTTTCCAACCTTTCCTTATTTTTGTCCTTGCTCAATTGCTTGGCCTTGGGCTTTTTGCCCCTTCAGAAAGTTCTCTTCATCCTGGCAAATTAATTCATGTCCCCCTTAATTGATAGGTCTCCTTTGCCCTGGGATGGTTTGGACAACTCCTTCCTAGAAAGAGCTTGGGGATCAAGAGCTAGAATTGTTGGGAGGTATCCAATGACATGGAGGGAAGATGAATTTTTTTTTTTCATAATCATGGTAAATTTGTATTTATATGGAAGAAAGGGGATCTGTCAGCTGACTTGGTCGCAATCTTGAGTCCCTGGGTGAAGGTAAAGGTGAGTCTTCAACTCTTGTAGAAAACAAGAGTTACCCCTCAATTAGAGGCCTCAAAGGTCCAAAGATTTAGTATGATTCCCATGATGGATCTTGTTCCCAGGGACAGTGAAGTTTTGGCTGGTGGCCTAGGGAACTCTGAGTCAATGATGATAGGGGGCAAACCTTGGTATCATCTTAGGGCCCAAGACAATATGCATGCAAGAGGCTTATGACACCTTTGCTACTTTGCCATGCAAAACCTTGATTTGTGCTGGGGATCAGTGACTGCTGGAGGTGTTGTCATTGATGCTTTTGCCCCAGTATTCCTGGTTTGTTCTTGTTCATTGTTACTGTTTTACATCAGGAGAGCTATTGTGAACTGCCCTGTATCCCAACTGCATGACTATACTTTTAAAGAGACTTTTATATATTATTTGACATTGTAGTTTTGTTATTTAAGTTTCCTTTCTAATGCAGTTTCTGCTACACTTCTTCCAGAGGTCAGAGTTCTTTTAAGGTCTTTTAAATGATAGAAGGCTCTCTAGAGGATTTTTAAGACCTTTCCTTCCAAGGGTAGAAGGTACTTGGAATTTATTTTATTTAAATGCATAGTTTCCCTTTAAGAAGGCAAGGAGGCTATCCCTGGGATTTCATGGTACAGAAGACTGTGGATATAAAAAAATCTAGCTTATGGGGGCATTGTTCTTAAGGTTTGGCAAAATTCCCACTGTTCTTTGAGATGTCTTTCTGATCCAGCATTGCTACCTTGATAACTTGGAGACAGAAGGAAGTAGCATTTGTTTTTATTACTTTACACTAGTACAGTAATTTTTAAATTGCGTTTTATTGAATAGTCCATGGCTGTTTCATGACATTCCAGTCCTGAGTTAGAATTTACTGGATTGGTCTGAGTGTTAGGCCTTTCTGTTACAGAATTGTGGTGTGAAGGAGAGTTAAGAGTTGAAGATGTATCTGAAGTTAAAATCTGAGTGATCTAAAGGATAGTGGTATCCTTTATTGAAAGAGTTCAGAATTAGGGAGGATAGGTTTGAGGAAAGCTAACATATTTTGGTTTGACGTGTTAAGTTTAAGATGTCTACATTACATGCAGTTGAAACTAAGTCAGTTAGGGATGCAGAACTGATGCTCAAGGGAAATACTAGGGATGGATATTTTGTAGATCTAGAAGCTATTTGCATAGAGATGCTAAATTAGATACATGGAACTGATGAGGTCATAAGGAGAGGGTATATAGAGAAAAGAGGCCCCAATACAGAGAGCCCTTGGGGGAGGAGATTTGGATGATGATCTAGTAAAGAATACTGAGAAAATTAACAGCCAAGCAGGTAGGAGAAAAACTAGGAGAGAGTAAGTAGGGGGAGGGTCTGAAAAGTTAATGAGGGAGAGGAAATAGAGACAACTTGCCTAGAAAACTTTTTCTCAGACTTTGGCAGTGAAAGGGAAGAAGGATATAGTGTCATAGCTTGATGTCAGGTCAAAGGAATGATTTTTTTTTTTTAAAGGATGGAGAAGACTTTGGGAATGTTTATAGACAGACAGTAAAGAAGTAATTGATAAGTAGGAGAGACTAAGTTTTTTCAAGAAGGGCAATCAGTCTACAGAAAGAGAGAGAGGGTAAGAACACAGAGAGTGGTTGACCTTGACAAAGTGTTCTATCCTTCATCAGAGACTGGAGCAAAGGATTAGAGGATCGAGGATGATTTTATGAGTTTTTTAAATATAAGAGAAGGGAGCTCATGGAGAATGACCTGTTTTCTCAGTACAGTGTGAGGTAAGGTCTGTTGCAAAGAGGCTTGAAAGAAGAAAAGTTGTGAGGCTGCTGCTCTGAGTAGTACATTTAGGAAGAAATTGCTTGGCTGTAGTGGGGCTCAGTTGAACTCACTTGAGATAAATGTTATCCTTGTTCTGGTCAACATGGTTGTATTACTTCCTCTAGTACTGTTCAAAGAACTGAGGAAGGGGTGTGGTGGGAGCAATTCAGGTTCAGAATTTTTCGCAAGACGTGAGTATATAGGACATGGACAAATAGATTTGAAGATAGTGTAGGATTAAACTGTTAAATTGAAGATGGAAGAAAATTAAACCAGATCAGGAATATTGGTCTCCAAGGGAACTGAAGGGTAAAGGTTACAGCAAAGGCAAAGAATAGATTCAAGAGAAGTGAGAGAGGGATGGAAGGAGAGGAAATAAAGTCAGAGGAATTTCATAACTCTTGATCATGAAAATAGGATACTTATGGGAGATGGTGAGATCAAAGGTATAATATATATATATATATATATATATATATATACACACACACACACATATATGTATATAGGGATAAGGTTGGATGAAGAATTATGTGAACCCTCTATGTAGGTTATAGGAGTTTAAGATGTTGATGAACTGGGAAGCCAGAGTGTTTGAAGGAACATCAGCATGTATATTGAAGTCTTTGGGGTGGAAAGGAAGACTGTGAACCAGGTACTGAACTCCTTAACATAAGAAATGAGGTATAGTAACCTTGAGGTAAGTTGATACGTGTGCCACCAGGATAGGATGAGCTAGGTAAAAGGAACTTAAAAGGAAGAGAAGTTGCTGATTGATGGTGGCAGAGGGAGGGAAGATCTAGAAGTGGAAGTGGGGAGCAAGTAGTATGCCTATTCCTGCTCCTAGGCCTGTGTATTAGGGGAAATGAAGGAAGAAAGTGTATCAGATACAATAGAGGGGGAGCAGAGAAGCAGTATCTTCAAGGGGAGCCAGGTTTCTGTGAGTGGCACAGGTTGTAATTCGTGCATGAGGAAAAAGCCTAGGATAAAGGGAGATGTAAACAGTAAATTGTTTTAAACCATACAAGGAAACAATTGTCATCATATTATATTGTAGTTATTACATAGATGAAAAACCAGAACTTTCCAAGAAAAATGCCTTGATGTGAAAAGGTTGCAAGGCTCAGACCTTCACACAAAGTGATTTTTCTTTGGATGTTTTGAGGAGTGCTAAAGTATTGAGTTTTGAAGTATCTAAGACTCTTTACTTTTGCTCATTGCTTTAATGGGGAACATTAAATGAGAGGCAAACTAATATAGTGGGTAGATCAGCATCAAGAACAACCCACATTCACTGCTTGCCCCTGCTCTGAGGCCATGAGGATGTCACTTACTCTCTCAGTGCCTTGTACAACTCTCAGACAATAAAGTTATAGATAAATTGCTGATCTGCATCTGAGCAGGAAGTTTTGAACAGTTGATGTGTTATATGTTGAAAACAAAATTTTTGAGGCATTCAAATAACACATATGCATATGGACATATATTTACCCATATGTGTGTATACATACATACATACATATACACACATTAGATATATACATATGTGTGCACACATATGGATTTCTTCCTAGTTCAGAGTTTTGTTCCATTAAGTCTTATATCTTATTTTTGGTGTCAAGAACATTTAAGTGTAAAATAGTCACAGTTTAAAAATTATTCATGGTATCTCACCTAGCAAATATGAAAAGACCTTTAGCTATTAGTATTTAGTTGTTATCACTTCCCATGTAAGTAAAAAACTACCTTCTTTTCATAATTGTTCAAATGGAATCTTTTCTATACCCTAATCAGAATGTAACTGAATTTTAATTTCTCATATTTAGAGTCCTATTTCAAGATGTGTGTTTAGTTTCTATTACTAGATGCTACTAATTAATATGATACCTAATAAGGTAGCTTTATCTTTAAAAATCTCTTTTGTTTGTAAAAGATTGTGATTTGATATTTAGTTTTTGAGGACCGAAAATGAAAGTGTCTCAAACTATCTGAAATCTTTATCAGGAAAGAAAGCAATGTCTATTCCCTTTTTTGCCTCTGAAATACACTTTCCTGAGTTTTTGTGCTGTGCTTTCTAGGGTTTTTTACGCACATTCTGTTGGATGAAGCTGCACAGGCCATGGAGTGTGAAACCATTATGCCTCTGGCATTAGCAAATCAAAACACACGGATTGTTTTGGCTGGAGACCATATGCAAGTAAGTGCTCTACCATGTGTTTAGTCTAGAATGAAATTCTGGTTAATGAAGTATTACAGTACATATTTAATGGAAATAAAGTGAAATCATAGCATGTATTAAGACTTAGTTACTTTGAATATTTCTGAACTAGATGTTACTCTAAGTGTATAAATTGATGATTGCAAGAGACTTTAATGTTAATTCTTGTTATGTTGTAAACTTAGCAAATTTGGCAAAATATTTTTACGAAGGAATTTTACATGCTAGTTTTAATTCTTTTCTTTTAGATTAGTTAGACAGAGTGAGCAAAACTTTGCCACTTTTCACTTTTGTTTATTTGAGGCTTTGTTCTTTATGGTGCAAATATTTGAGCTTTATTTTTCATCATTTCTTCCTCAATTCCCCAGCTGTTGTTCCTAAGTAATGTTTATCTTCATGCAGGGTTAATTAATTTTAAGTAAAGGAAACAAAGTGAAAACAGTAGTCAATAATATTTCTAACTTAATATACTTAAATACATACCTGTTAAAAAAAGGAATTTGCATTTTCTGTTTGAGGCAGAACAGTAGATAGAGAGATAGATCTGGAGGCAGAAAGACTTGAATTCATATCCAGACTCATGTATTAACTGTGTGACTGTGGACAAGTCACCATGAGCTCTGTTTCCTTGTCTGTAAAATGGGAATATTAATAGCACCTAACTCCTAGAATTGTTGTGAAGATAAATTGAAATAATATTTGTAAAATGCTTTGTAAAACCTTAAAAGTGCTATATAAATGCTAGTTGTTATTATTAATGTTTTCCATCTTTCTTATACATTTATAGCTTCAGGTCCTGTCTCCCCTGGGACACATGATTAGAATGGTACCTTCATGGTATTCTTGCTGTCAGAATTATGATAAAGGTTTATAGCTATAGGGCTAAATTACATTTGTTGCAGGATTGTTTAAACAGATTATTTTTGCTTAGCTTTAAATGCTTAAACACTAAGTATTTTTTTTTTTTTACATTTAGAAAACACTTGTTTTATGCATAAACTATCTTTACTAGGATTCCTAGCTGATCATCTTGATTCTTTTGATTGGGTCAAAGAATTAAGGGGTTTGAGTTTCTGTCCCTCAGTGAATAAATGTGATTTTATACATTGGTAAGTTATATTGAAAGTAAAGTTTGTCAAATGTTAAATAGAGTTGCAAACAGCCTAGAAATTATTAGACTGGACAGATATCCCAAGGTTGAACATATAGAGATTTAATACATAAAAAGTTTTAGCATAAGGAATTTTATGTAAGTAATTTCCAGAAGCTGCTTGCAAATTTTGTTAAAGTTTTTTTTTTTTTTTTACTATATGGCTGTCTGTTGCAGCTCAGTCCTTTTGTCTACAGTGAGTTTGCCAGGGAGAGAAACCTTCATGTTTCATTACTGGATCGGCTCTATGAGCATTATCCTGCAGAGTTTCCATGTCGTATCTTACTGTGTGAGAACTATCGTTCCCATGAAGCTATCATCAAGTAGGTGTGACCTTTTTCAAACGTACCTGTAACTGGTATTAGTGAATATAAACAGTTTCATCAATGACTGAGGGTGCTAAATTGAGTCATAGGTGATATTAGTGCTATAAATTGCTTTTTGTTTGATTTTTTTAAAGAAACCACTTAAAGAAACTCTTTAAAAACGAAAAGAAAAAAATTTTAAAAAGCATTTAAATTCAGGAAACTAGAAGTTTTCGTCTACTGGGTCTGTGTTATCTTTGTGTATGTGTATGTATACATATATATAAATTCACATATACTAACATGAGTGTGTTAATGAACCAGAAAAATAGCAAAGGTTTCCCAGTTTTGCATTTTGTGTGTGTGTATAGGGAATCTAATTTTTTTGCATGTGTGTATAGGAAATCTAATTGGAAATAAAATAAATAGGGGGAAGGAATATAAAAATTAGTAATTTTTAAAAGTTCAATAATACATTTTGGTAATATGAATGATGCCAGTAATATAAGTAGGTCATTAGGAGAGTAAAGAGCAAAAAAAGACTTAGTTTCCACTGTGGCTTTCTTCAGCATCTTAAAATGTGATTTTTTTTTTTATTCTTCCAAAATTGTTTGATGCATACAAAGGCCTTACTGGGAGGTACCTACATCCGTAAAAGGGCATTCAGTAAATGGGGGGAAATGTTGAAATATTTATTGTCCTTAAATTATGTCGCTTTAAATTATATTTCTTTGATGGGAAATAATTAATATAGTTCATATCTGTAGATTAGCTAGAAAAGTGAACATCAAGTTGCTACTCTCTTTACATGTAGTCGTACCCTAAGTGTAGTAAGAGCAATATGTAACTATTATTGATCAAACATTTCTCTCTTCCTTTTCTCTGTAGTGCCTTTCCTTAATTTCTCTATAAAAAGAACCCACCTAATAATTATAGAGTAACAGGTGCCTACTCTATAGTTTTTTGGTTGTTGTTTATTTTGCTTTTTTTTTTTTATAAAGGAAAACCTCTCCTTTTATCTTCAATATTTTGAATAGAATTTGTTTTGGACATGGAGTAATATATTGGTTTGAATGTAGTTTTTCCATTGACTCTATATTTTTTAGTGGTTTACGTTTTCATTTGTGTCTTTTTGTAGTTACACATCTGAGCTTTTCTATGAGGGGAAGCTGATGGCAAGTGGAAAACAGCCGGCACACAAAGATTTTTATCCTTTAACCTTCTTTACAGCACGAGGGGAAGATGTACAGGAAAAAAATAGTACAGCTTTTTATAATAATGCAGAGGTAATTTCCATATTTTTGTATATCATATTTCCTTTGAAAATTTGGGTTTTAACTTGTAAGGCTTCATGTAATATTTTTTCCTTAAATCTTTTTATTGGCTTAAGTATGAACTCTATTGGCATAAAGATAAGATATAAAACTTCTCTTGGCATGCAGCATTTATATTCATTGTGATATGGTTAAAATAAGGTAAACTGAGGTACTAAGTTCCAAGCATGATCAGTTTATTAGTAAAGCATGAATTTACCAATAGGTAGGATCTCAACTTCCTCAGCAAAGCTAAGACCCTTAGTTGGGTGTAGTTTTTAGGGAAGTTCAGAATAAAGAATAGGACTTCATAAGTGGGGAACAAGTTATGATTGGTTAAAAGAGCTTGACATCATAAATGGCAAAACATGACTGGTTACAGAGCTGAGGTATGGGGGACAATATGATTGGTTGGTAATTTGGAATGAGGAACTAGCAGCACCCCCCTCCTTCCCTTTTGTGATGAAGAAATGCTCATTGTTGAGTTCATTCACCTGCAAGGTTAGAGATAGTGAACTAGACTTATTTGGATAACAAACCATAAATCCTTGAAGGATAACTTGGTGGTGTAAATATACTGCCACACTTCCTGGTGTCCTCTTGTATTTTTCAAGGGTAACATTTCCTTAATGCAAGAATGGAATAGTGATTAACAAGAGAACTGGGTTTCTAAATTTAACTCAATACAGGAGAGCTGAGTTTCTGAACTAAGTTCAGAGACAAAGAGTGGCTTAGGTAGTTACAGGAAAAAATTGATCAAGTTCAAATAGGATCAATTAAATGATACAGAATCAATCTGGTTATTTAATTTGTTATTATGAATCACTTATGGCATAAAAACAAAAATAAACTCTGATTTACTCTTTGTTTTGTGGTAAAATAGGAAGATGTAGCTTAATTAAAAAAAGTGTCAGCTTATTCTTATATATGTTATTTTTCATCTGAAATGGAACTTCATTAAATCTTGTTATTTTAATATAATATGATCATTTGTGTTGAGTGACAAGTGATTAATATTGAAAAATTTCATATTCACATATACATAATTGTATTGCTGCTCCATGGTAGCAGAAAATTCAGTGGTTTCTTTATTGAGTATGTTTGTTTGTATTCCTTGTTTGTACATAGTTGTACTTTGTTGCATCACAGCCTCAGAGGCTGCATTGAGTGCACAATCATCTGCAAACAGAAAATCATGCACCAACACTCCCTCCACTTTGGTCTCGGCTTGTAGCCTTTTCAAGTTGAAGAATTTACTATCAGTGTGGTAGCTGACCTTGAAGCCGTGTTCATCCTCATTGAAAGCATTTGATAACATGGCTGAAAACATCATGCTAAAAAGCATGGGAGCAAGCACACAGCCTTGTTTACTTCATTGGTGACTGGGAAAGCATAAGAGCATTGTCCATTATCCAGAACTCATGCAAGCATGCCATCATGAAATTGATGTACGATACTGAGGAGTTTTTCCGGGCAACCAAATTTTGACATAATTTTCCATAAGCCCCTCACGACTGACAGTATCAAAGGCCTTGGTCAAATCTACAAACATTGTGTACAGACCTCTGTTCTTTCCTGGCATTTCTCCTGGAGTTGTTAAGCAGCAAACACCATATCAATCGTTCCTCAGCCCTTTCTGAAGCCGTACTGGCTCTCTGAGATGATCACCTTCCAGGTGAAGGATCGGCCTATTGAGGAGGACTCTGGCAAGAATCTTACCAGCAATGAGAGACCTCCACGCCCCCCACTTCGTGATTGTCGCAGGACAATCTATTTCCTTTACCTGAGGCTGAGATGCAACAAAGTATGGATCAATTCCCCACTGCTTGTCCTAATTTTGGTCTAACAACACCAAGAAAACACTGGTGCTCCATCAGCCACCACCCCACCACCCATACGTGGAACCATCAGTTGCGGCAAATGTAGAAGTTTTGAATGCTGTGGATAAGTTCGCTTACCTTGGTAGTATACTTTCCATGGGTGTCCACATTGATAATGAGGTTGACGAACGCATTGCCAGAGCTAGCTCAGTGTTTGGGAGGCTCCAAAGGAAAATATGGGAGAGAAAAGGTATTAAACTGACTACCAAACTGAAGGTCTACAGAGCCATTATGCTAATCTCATTGTTGTATGCCTGTGAAACCTGGACAGTATACCAGCACCATGCCAGGAAACTGAATCGCTTCCATTTGAATTGTCTTGTGAAGATTCTGAAGATCGCTTGGTAAGATAAGATACCAGACACTGAGGTCCTTTCTCGAACTACAGTGCCAAGCATTCATACTCTGCCTCAGAGAGCACAGTTCCGATGGGCTGTTCGAATGCAAAATGTATGCTTGCCAAAAAGACTATTTTATGGAGAACTCACACGGGGCAAACATTCACATGGTGGTCAGAAGAAGTGATACGAAGCTACTCTCAAGGTCTCTCTTAAGAACTTTGGAATTGATTGTGTGACATGGGAGACACTGACACAGGACTGCTCAGCGTGGCATGCCCACATCAGAAAAGGTACTATTCCCCATGAGCAAAGCAGAATTGAAATAGCTCAAGAGAAATGCAAGATGTACAGACTTGGAAAATCCATCCCAAATGTTCACACAAACTATTTGTGCCCGACCTGTGGTTGAACATTTTGAGCTCATATTGGTCTGATCAGCTGCAGTCGAATACTCTGAAACTTGATTCTAGCATAGTGATGTCATTTGGTCCTCTCTTCAAGAATGATGGGACAACAACCACATAGTTGTATGTTGACTTCTTTTTAGACTATGAGCTCCTTGAAGGCAGAGATTCGTAATTGTATTTTGCTTTTTTCTTTTCTTTGTATCTCCAGTGGTTAGTACTGTGCTGGCACTTAGTGCTTCATATATGCTTGTTGACTTGACTTTCTTAAAAGTGAGTGCAGGTAGAATTCTGTTTGAAATACTCTGATTAGACATTAACACTGATCCATTCTTTTTTTGTCAGTCAGCAAGCATTTATGAATACTTACTATGTACCAGACACTGGGGATACAAAGAAAGGCAAAAAGAGTCTTTTTTTTTTCTTTTTTGCTAGGCAATCAGGGTTAAGGGACTTGCCCAGAGTCACATAGCCAGTGAGTATCATGTGTCTGAGGCTGAATTTGAACTCAGGTCCTCCTGACTCCAGGGCTGGTACTCTATTCATTGCACCACCTAGCTTCTCTGAATCTCTTCCTTCTTGGAGCATACGTTGTAAAGAGGGAGACAACATGTACCTAGGTAAATATAAGCTATAAACAGAGAAGATGAAGCTAATTTCAGAGGGGAAGGCAGATTGAGGGATCAAGAAAGGCCTCCTGCATAAAATGGGATTGAAGGAAGCCAGGGAAGCCAAGGAGCTTTCCAGCCTTGAAGGACAGTCTGTGCCTAAGGCATGGAGATGGATGATGAAGAGATGTGTGCAAGTGGGCCAGTGTAGAAAGGTGCCAGGTGTATGATTCTGATCTCCTAATCTATAAAGTCCACTTTATGTAGAATGATGCAGCAAGAGTCTATTTCACTGAAAGGAAAGGTCCAAGGTACTTTTCTGCTTGCTAATCAAACAATAAGCAGTTATTAAGGGCTTATTATATTCTACATGCTGTATGCTGGGAGCCCAAAGACAAAAACAAAATAGTCTTTGACCTTAAGGGAATTATATTCCTTTGGAAGAGCAACCATGTAAATATATACAGAATATAGAATAAGTATGTGCAAAATATAGATATACGCAGTAAGTACAAGATAATTTTGGGGAAAATGCACTAGTGGTTAGGAGAAATTAGAAAGGGCTTCATGTCGGAGGTGGCACTTGAGTTGAGCTTTGAAGCAAACTAGGGGTTCTAAGAGGAGAGGGGAGAGCATTTCAGGCATGGAGGACATGCAACCTGGGTATCAAGATGGGAAATAGAATATCATGTGAAACAGCAAGCTTATTGTTGTGTGTGTGTGAGTGTGTGTAGAGTTCTAAGGCTGGAAAGCCTGGAGTCAGTCAGGTTGTGAAAGGGTTTAAATGCCAAATGAAGATTTTTAAATTTTATCCTAGAGGTATATGCTGGAATCTTGTGAACAGATGAGTGATAGGATGAGACCTATGCTTTAGAAATACCACTTTTGCAGCAGGATGATGGAATAGAGTGGGCAGATTGCTATTGTATAGTTCTGATGAGAAGTGATGAGGGCCTAAACTTAAGGTGGTGGCTGTGGGAATGGAGAGAATGGAATTAATGCGAGAGACATTGTGAAAATAGAATGCATAAGACAACCTCTATGTGGATGGATGTGGTAAGAGAAAGTAAGAAGTTGAGGATGACCGAAGTTATGAACCTTGGGTGATGATTGTGTCTTCAGCAGAAATAGGAAAGTTATGAAGAGAGGGATGTTTTGCAGAAAAAAATAGAGTTCTGTTTTAGACATGTTGAATTGTCTAGTAGGTAGTTCATGATACTGAGACTGGAGCTCAGGAAAAAGACTAAAGTTGATTCTGTAGGTCTGGAAGTCATTAGATTTGACATCTGAGCTCATGAGAGCTGATAAGGTTACCAATAGAGGGTAAAGAGAGAAAATAAGTAGTTCCAAGACAGAGTCTTTGGATAGAAATGGAGTTCTCAAAAGAAGAAAAGCAGATTATCAACAACAATGTGAAGAAAGGCACCAAGTCACTAATAATAAGAAAAATGCATATTTACTCTGAAGTTTCATCTCACACCATCAGATTGGTAAAGATGTTGAAAAAAGGATAGACACACTAATGTACTACTGGTAGAATTGTAAATTGATTGTAAATAGAGTTGTAAGTTCTAGTAAATTCTAGGGGTATGTGGGACATTAAGAGGACTAGTATGTGTGATGTGAGGGCTTGCCCAATGCTTTTCAGGACTCCTCATTTGCCTTTGGTGTCCACCAGATTCACCCAACTCTCAACTGTGGCTCCAAGAAGCTGTAGCATGCACACCAGCTACACGCTGGTAAACCATCTCAGCAGGTTGAGGGTTACTGACATGCCTCAAACCCATTAGTGAGTTAGGCAGATGTCTACCCAGACACGTGAAGGCTTTCCCCAGTGGGATGGGTGGATGAGAACAACTTGTTCCAGTGGCCATGAAGGCAGCTGAAGCAGGCACTGTGGGGTGCTTAGAGCTTGGTCACAGCATCAAAGACACCAAGGTCATTCACGACATCCCAGGCCATTGCCAGCCATGACTTTTGTTCTGCCACTGGACTTACATGACTCAGAAAGAGAGAATGAGGCTGATGATTTTGTACAATTCTGCCTCAATTAAATCCAATTCATATACAAGTCAAGACATCACCCCATGATGTCATTGATCCTCTTTAAAACAAAGGATAAATAACAAATTCTAGCCATTCGGGAAAGCAGTTTCTACAAGAAGATTTTCCCAGACCTCTTCAATCTTAGTACTTTCTCTAAGACATCATCTCCAATTTATGTTCTTGTTTGTACATTGTCTGCCCACTAGATTGTGAAGTCCTTGAGATTGAGAACTGTGAATTTTTGTTGTGTTTTGCTTCTTATTGTATCTCCAGGAGTTAGCACAATTCTTGGTACATAGTAGGTACTTAGTAAATGTTTGACATAGATAAGTGGGATAGCTTAGGAATTAATCTGCTGAACTTAGTATACTTTAAAAAAAAAACAAACAACTCCCCCAAATAAAAACAAGTTATTCTTAAGGAGATTCACAGGAGTATATATAACCCTTTTTTTTTGTTCTTTATATGTGGAAATGTTCATGTTTTTAAAAAAATTCTTTTAAAAATGACATTTGTTTCTGAAAGTAGTAACACCACTTGAGCCAGAGCATTTATAAACTCGTATCAGATCACCAAAAGTATAACCAAATTTTATTAATAAAATAAAATGTAATGTACCTTTAGTTGTTACTTTGTATATAAATGCTTGACTAAAAAGACATCTTCATTAAGCATACTAGTAAATTAATTGGAAATTTTAAAAGTACCTTTTATAAGGAATTTATCCTTTAAATTATTTTATTCACATCAGCAAACTGTTTTAATGTGGGGTGTTGGCCAAGATGTGAAATGATCTTGTGACCTAGAACTGAGTTTTTCATTAAGATGGCATTTCAGATGCAGTGGTAAAAACCAATTTTTATTTTAAAGGTATTTGAAGTAGTGGAACGTGTGGAAGAGTTAAGGAGAAAGTGGCCTGTAGCTTGGGGAAAGTTAGATGATGGAAGTATAGGTGTGGTCACTCCTTATGCTGATCAGGTGTTCAGGATCCGTGCAGAACTTCGAAAAAAGAGATTATCTGATGTCAATGTGGAAAGAGTGCTCAATGTTCAGGGTAAGTAACAATTAAGTTTCCTGAAGTCACTCAAATGTAAATATTTAGAAATGCCTTTTGAAAATTTTGTATTTACACCTTGGTAATTTTTGAAATAGAGAAGCATATGATGCAGTGGATAGAGAGCTGGCTTTGGTGTTAGGCAGACCTCTGTTCAAGTGCTGCCTCTGCCACATCAGGACTGTGGGATTCTGAGTGAGGGGATTAAACTCTCAGTGCCCTCAGACAGCTCTCTAAGAGTGTAAGGGGCAGAGAAAGTACAGATACCTATTTTTAGAGGAAGCTCCTTATCAGGAGTTCCCTAAAACAGTAAAATCACAGTCTTGGTCAAAAAAAAAAATGTGTGTGTGTATATAAATATATATATATATGCATAGGCAATTACATAAGCATTTTCATGTCTATTCTATATATTAAAGATTGGTCCCAGGTTAATTTAAATACTTTATGAAATTGTGCAGAAGTGTTCATCACAGTTGCCTGAATGAAAGAAGTATAAGTAAAAGATTTCAATGTGTCTGTTTTTCTGTATGTAGACAAAAGACATAGTCGCCCCGCCCCCCCCCCCCAAATAAAAGTTCTGCATAAAATGTTGCCACAGCTAGTTTCTTTTTGGCTGTTACAATGTGAGATTTTTCATTTAAAAGTTTATTACTTCAAGACACTAGTAATATTTACATTCTGTTTGAGATGTTTTGGGAATTACTCTTTGTGTCTGATATTGAGTTAGTAGGACATTTGTTTTCCTCTTTACATCCCTAAAAGGCAATGATGATATTAATCTTTATTTTATGATAAGCCACTAGTTTCTGCTTCATTTTCAAGATCCCAAGTATATTGTAGTGAGAAATCTCTGGCTACATTTCTGATCAGTAGTGAGAGTGATAATTCTGGAAAGACAAATACTCATAAAACAGGATTAGCAAGAATTTCTTGTACCTAAGAAATGATACTTCAATGCATTTTAAATGATTAGTTTGTTTTCTTTATAGTAGGAACTCATTAGAACTGTTTATGCGATTTGATATTTATTTATTTTACATTGTATTTTTATTCATACTATTTGCTTTTCATCACATTCGTTTGCAAATATAGCCCTCTCTCTTTGCCTACCTATTGAATCATTCCTAGTAACAAATATTAAAAAAGAAAGAGGAAGAAATAATTCAGGGAAAAAAAAGTTGGTTGTCAGACTTTGAGAATATATGTAATATTTTATATTCATAATCTCCCACTTCTATAATGAAGGTGTATATTCTCAAATCTTCTCTGGGGCCAAAATTGTCTATTATAATCACCTGTTCAGTTTCATTTTATTGTTCTTTCTGTTTATTTTGAGATTTAACATAGAGATAGGGAATGAACTTGTGATTTCATTATTGAAAAGATCATCACATTCTCAGCAATTTATAGTCTTAGAGAATTGCCCAAAATACCAAGAAGATAATACATTTGCCCAGTGTCAGACAGCATGTGTCATCAGAAGGACTTGAATCCATGTCTTCCTCGCTTCAAGACTGGCATTCTATCCACTATACCATGCTACCTCATATTATGGGTGTTACTTTAAAAAAAAATGATCAGCATGATGTGGTTGCTAATTCTGATAATAATGAAGTGATTATCGAAAATCCCATTGCTTTCTGTGCTGCTCACACCACATCATAGTATTTTTTTCAATTTTAGCCACAGTATTTTAGGAGGGACTGACTACAGAATGTCTAGAAGGCAGGAGGCATGGTGAGGAATCAGGACTCTAACTTATGGAATTCTTAAAGGAACTGAGAATGTTTAGCTTGGAGAAGAAAAAAGCTAGGGACTTGATAGATAACTTCAAATATTTGAAAGCTGTTGGCTGAAAGGGAAGAAATAGACTTCAGGGGTGGAGAACCTTCGGTCTCGAGGCCACATGTAACCCTCTAGCTTCTTGACTGCACCCCTTTGACTGAGTCCAAGTTTTATAGAACAAATAGGGGAAATTATTAATTATTAACTCAAAGGGCTGCACTAGGACCTAGAGGGCCCCATGTGGCCTTGAGGCCACAGATTCCCCAGATTGGTTTCTGAGATACCTTTCAAATTAAGACGCTGAATTTTAAATTATGGGAAGAGATTTTGACTAAACATGCAAAAGAACTTTTTGCTGCTTTGGCTAACAACTAGAACTCTATAATTGTGGAAAGAATTGCCTTAAGAGGTAATAAAGTATTTAAGCTGAGGCTAGATGACCAGCTGTCAGGGTTGCTGTAGTATTGGGTGGAATCTTGCATTGGGCAGAAGATTGTATGAGGTGATCTTTGTATGAGGTGATCTTTGGGGCTGGTTTCAATTCCTAAGTTTCCAGGATTTTGTGAAAATGTGATCCTTTGGTTTTGTTATTGATTAATAACATTAAATGTAAAATGTTCTTAATTTCTTTAGGAAAGCAGTTTAGGGTTTTGTTTCTGAGTACAGTACGTACCCGGCACACTTGCAAACATAAACAAACCCCAATTAAAAGGAAAGAGCAACTATTAGAAGATTCAACAGAGGATTTGGATTATGGTTTTTTGTCCAACTACAAACTTCTCAACACCGCCATAACAAGAGCACAGTCCTTGGTAGCTGTGGTGGGTGATCCTATTGCATTGTGCTCTATTGGAAGATGCAGGTATTTTGAGTATGTGTGTATATATTGTTGACTGAAAACTTTGGGAAGAAATGCAAGGATGCCTTTATGTTATGACCTCCTAGCATTTGATTGGTCTGTTTTAATAAATTTTGAGCAATATAAGCATATAAATTTTATTTCTTTGACTTATTCAATATCTTAATAATTTTATACCTATGAATATAGTCCTTAAACAGTTTTAAGTAACCTCTGGCAGTATAGATAATGGATATGATGAATTTCTTTTCTTAGGCATTTTCTGCCATGCCTTTTCTTTGCATTCAGTTATTTGTACTCTTTCAAAAGCTCCTGTCATCTTTCCAAACTAAAATGGTCTGTCATCTTTCTATTTCTGCTTATGGCTCTTTAAACATTATTATCAATAATAAATTGACATAAATTGTAAGAAGCTCTTTATATTAATATGAGAACATTATCAAAACAGATACTGGATGTTTTTTTTCTAATGTGCCTTATGCCATTTATTTGAATGTTAGAATTCTGAATTTAATGGTATTGGGTTTAAACTTTTGACTCTTGAAAAGGCTTATCTGTTTGTATGTGTGTATAGCTCAAACAGAAAGAATTATAAAAAGGTTACTTTTTATATAAGAAAAATAATGTACTAAGATTTACATAAAATTTTTACAAATCTTATAGTACCTATCAAAGTGAATTCAGGATCAGAAACATGATCTAAGTAGCTTTGAAATATTCCTTGGATAACTATTTCATTATTATTGTCAATAATAATAATAGTAGCTGATATTTTATATTATACTTTTTGGTTTGCGAATTGTTTCTTATTTTATCCTCACAAAAACCCTGAGAGGAAGATATTGTTATTATCCCCCATTTTATAGCCAAGAAAACTGAGGTTAAGTGACTTTGCGGGGGTCACATAACTAGCAAATGAGTGATGCCATATTTGAACTTGTCTTTTTGACTCCAGTCCTAGCTCTCTCTCCATTATACTACCTACCTATCTGCCTATTGTATGATATTGTTGTTGTATAGTACTGTTAAGATGGACAGATCTGTTTGGATGGAGCAGCCTGTAAAGTCAAGAATGCATTGTGAAGTAAATGTGGCAACATTTTCTTCTTTTTCATATGTCCCAGGAGACATAAATGTTCTATATAAAGGGCATCTACTTGGGCTATTTAAAAATAAAACTGATTATTTTATCAGAGCTATAACTGGCCCTACCTGTTATTTGTTTGTTTGGGCCTTTAATTATAACTCCTGTGCTTGCTCAGGTGATCCCATTCTATCCCATCTTTTCTAGCATGTTGTCCCCTCTATCATCTAATAATTGTCCCCTTTTCACTAATCTTCAGTTCTTCCCTATCTATCTCCCGGGGACTTCTTCCCAGCTGTCTACAAACATGTCTATGTCTTCTGAATCCTTACTTGATCGTTCTGTCTCTGCTAATTATTATTTATTTCTCTTGCCCTTTATGTCTTAACTCCTTAAGAAGGCTGTCTACAACAGGTGCTGCCATTTTCTTTCATCTCATTCTCTTCTTTACTCTTTTTTTTAGGCAATTGGGGTTAAGTGACTTGCCCAGGGTCACACAGCTAGTAAGTGTCAAGTGTTTGGTCTGAGGCTAGATGTGAACTCAGGTCCTCCTGACTTCAGGGCTGGTGCTGTATCCACTGCGCCACCTAACTGCCCCTCTTCTTTACTCTTTGCAGTCTAGCTTCTGATCTCATCATTCATCTGAAACTTTTTTTCTATAAAGTTACTACTTAATTGCTAAATCTTCTTGACCTCTCTGTTGATCACCCTCTTCACCTTGATATTCTCTTTTCTCGACACTGTTTTTTCCTGGTTCTCCTCCCTACCTGTCTGACCAATACATCTCTGTCTCCTTTGATTGTTATCCCTGTCATGCTCACTCACAGTGGGGGCCCATAAAATTGTGTTCTAAGCTGCCTTTTCTTCTCCCTGTATACTATTTCGCTTGGTGATCTCATCTTCTCTCATAGATTCAATTGTCATCTCTATGAAGATGATTCTCAGATCTACTTATCCAGCCTAAACCTCTCTCCTCACCTCCAAGCCCACTTCTCTAGCTGTCTTTTAAACATCTCAAACTGGATATCCTATAGACATTTTAAACTCAACATGTCCAAAATAGAACTTGTTATCTTTCCCTCTTAAATTTTTTCCTCTTCTTAATTTTCCTATTTCTGTTGAGGGTACCACCATCTTTCTAGTCATCCAGGCTCACCATCTAGGTGTCACATCCTCAATTTCTTACTCTCCTACTCTCCGTATTCAATCAGTGGTCAAGTCCTGTCTTTGATAGCTTTGTAACATCTTTCATATACATCCTCTTCTCTCTTCTGACACTGCCACCACTCTGGTGCAGGCCCTCATCACTTTGTTCTTGGAGTATTGCAATAGCCTGCTAATTGGTTTCCCTGCCTCAAGTCTTTCTCCACTCCAATCCCTCCTCTATTCAGCTGTCAAATTGATCTTCATAAAGCTCAGGTCTGACCAAGATCCCTCCCCTTCCACCCAATTCATTAATTTCCAGTGGCTCCATATAACCCTTAGAATCAAATATGGAATCCTGTTTGGCTTTCAAAGTCCTTTATAACCTGGCCCTTTGCTGCCTTTTCAGTCTTCTTATACCCTATTCCATTCCAGTGATATTGGCCTTACTCTGCTACCCAGTGACACTGTCTTCCCTGCTATTCTTTACACATAACAATTCCTCTGTTTCTCCATGCCTGGAATTCTTTCCCTCCTCATCTCTCTGCATCCTGGTTTTCCTGACTTCCCTTGAGACTCAGCTACAGTCCCATTTTCTTCGAGAAGACTTTCACAGTTCTTAATCATAGTGCTTTGCCTCTGATGTTATCTACAATTTACCTTGTATATAGTTTGTTTGTACAGTTGTTTGTATGTTGTCTTTCCCATTAGACTATGAGTTCCCTGAGGGTAGACAGATGGTTATTTTTGTTTTTGCCTTTCTTGGTATCTCCAGGGCTTAGTACAGTGCACAGCACATAGTGGATACTTAATAAATACTAGTTGGCTGGTTATCTGAAGAAACCCTTCCCAATGCCAATCTAAAGACAGCATGGAGGGATAATGGATAGGGCCTAGTACTTTGAGTCAGGAAGACCTGGGTTGAAATCCTGCTCCAGATACTCACTAACTGTACAATTATAGACAAGTCACTTGTCTTTGATTGAGTCCCTTCTGGCTCTAAATCTATGATCCTATACACAATTGTTTTGCAATTTAAAGTTTTAAGAAAGTTGCCTAGGGGCAATAAGAAGTTAAGTAATATAGCCCTGTGTATGTCAGATGCAAGACATAAGCTCAGGTCTTCCCAACTTTGAGGCTGACTGTACTATGCCACATGGCTTCTCATAGTCCCCAGAAAATTTTAGTGAGAGAAAGAGGAGTGGGTAACACAGACAGCAGTCCTATCTGGAGGGTAGTCATGCCAGGAGTGTCTCATAGAAGGTGCTTTTCTCAGCCCTAGAAGAGGGTGGTACAGCAATGACATGTAGAGGAGATGCTGTTTTCAGTTGACTGGTAAGTGCAGGAATGGGGGTAGCTCTAGGGAGTAAACATTTCCTCCTGAGGAAGTAGCATATATTCTCTTCCCACCCTTCCTTGTTAGCTCCCTGACCATTTATCCCAGCCCAGTTAATGCCCTCCACACCAGGGCTTAAAACTCAAACAGATAGAGATATCTTTAGAAAGAATACACCATTAGCCAGTTCATGATTGAGAGATTCTATTTATTGATGTGTAATTAAAGGATAGCAGACTAAACATATGGTTTTATTGGTATAGGGGATTCTTAGGTAAGGAAATTTTTACCAATGCAGTGATAAGACTACTACCACTGATAGTCTGAGAGAGTTTGTTGCCTAGGGTACTGAAAGGTTAAGTGATTTGCCCAGTGTCACAGCCAACATGTATCTGAGACAGAACTTGAACTCAAATCTTCCTGGTTTCAAAGTGTGCTCAGTATTTACTACACCATTGTTCTTTAGCTTAAAGTTGGATTGCAGGTATCAATAAATGAAAATATTGCCATAGACACTGTTTCAAATTTTGATATATTTTGTGAAGTTTAGGTTATCATTCCTTTTCATCCTCTAGGGACAAAAGTGAATTGAAAGTAAATGATTAGAATTAACTATAGAAATGTAGACAAGACTACTTAATGAATTGGTTAATTTGTACTTGTTACTTAGAGCTTGCAGAGTACTTGCCATTTGATTTATGAAAAAACTTATTCAAGCTCATGTATAAAGTAGAGCATCATGCATCAGGAGCAATAAAACATTCATAAACAATATTTAGGAATAATTATTAAGAATATGGATAGCCTTAAATGATTTTCAGCAATTTACTGTACCCCACATTTTCTAATAGTTACCCTTTCCTGTAATGGTGTTTTCATTCATCTTGGTTTAATTTCTCATTTTGTTCCATGCACTAGATATTTTTTGCTCAAAGGAGGATGAATGACTCTTCCTAAAATTACATAGTCACAATCATCCAGGCCCAGTTTTTAATATTAGGATGTTACATCATCATTGCTTTGGCTAGCTCTAAGACTTTACATCTATTACTATTGAATTTCATCTTATTAAATTCAGCCAATACTTTAGCCTGTCAAGATCTTTTTGGATGCTGACTCCATCATCTGTTGTGCTAGTCATCTTTTCTATCTTGTCACCAAACACCTCTAAGGCTATTACCCAACTAGGTTGTTTTCAGGGGCTACATGCTAATTTTTAACTCAAACAAAACATAATTAGGAAGTAAAATGTATTACAGAAAAAAATCATATATAACCAAATACAATTTACAAAATTTGGATTCATTTATACATGGCTCTGTTCCATCTACAGCTAATTTATTGCTGTTCTGGTACCAGACAAAGCAGCAATCCCTGAGGCATTCAACTGGAGACCTCTTGCCAAATGGCACTGAGTCATTAACTACTCTTCTGTTCAAT